GAAAATATTTTTCTTGTTTTGAGTAAAACAAAAACCTACTCCCTCCAAAGAAAATATTTTCCTTAAAAATAAGGAAAAATAGATATATTTTCAATGAAAAAATAGCAATCAAACACTCCAAATTAGGAATTTGAGTTGAGAACTGATATGTTCCATGGAAAATAAATATAATCAACACTCTTAATTCTTTTATTTGACTGTAGAAGTTCAAAAGAAAAAGTGAATTCTAAATCTACTTAACTCATTTCGTTGCATATAATTACTTATTTCATATTTGACTTTTAATCCATTTTTCTAAGCTTTTCATCTCTCTTTACCTAATAAAGGTTTTTTAACTACTCGAATATATTATCAAACGAGATTTTCACAGTGACACGTCACTCCATATTTTTGTGTTAAGAAGACCATTAAAATAAATTGTCATTCTATCTTTTTCTCCAAGAATAGAATGGTGGGACATGTCACTAAACCAAGTTTTATTGCAAAATAATGATATAATATAATAGTTGGTGGACACCATTGTTTGAAAGAATATTAAAATAGGTTTTACACCCTTAATTCGTTGTTGGACAACAAAATGATTATAACATTGGATTAAGGAAATATTACAACATTCCTTACGTAGGATAGCATATGATACAATTTTTTTTTTTTATCAACTAAAAAGATGTGATTAATTCCTTCCATGTCTCATGGTGGGTACCTTTTAAATTGGGACTAATTAATCATGATGCTTTTTGATTTTAGATATTTAACACTTTCACTAAAGTATCTTATTGATTTTTTGTTGATTAAATACTATTCTTTGTTTTTAGTTAATACCTCATTTTAAACAATCATAACCATTTATATAAAGATTTGATAGATTTAGAGTAGATTGCTAAGCCTCCCAGTCTGTCTGTTAGTCCGATACATTGAAAACATAGGATGAGTTGGATCCGTTGCAATTCACTTTATACGTCTAGACACGATCGAGACTCATATTAAGTAGCACTTGTCGCACTTTAATATCTTGAAAAACATATCCGGAAAATAGTTTCATATTTTATTTCTTTTCTTCTATTTATAAAAAAAAGAGAAGCATTTTTGGTTTCAATTTGGACAACGTGTTAAGGACATTAGGGTGCTTCCCACTATATATTTTATGTGATTAAATAACGAAATGAAGGAAGTGGAAATGGTGGCCCAAATCCATCACCAACTTTATGTTGAGTGGACTCCTACCTCACCACCAACATTGGACAGCTTTAACTCTTGCTACTTGGCAACAATTATCAAAAGATCATGTTATAAATAATTGATGGATAAATTAACGAAAGACGACTAATATGTTCGGCTAAGGAGATTCTTATGGTTAAAAATGGTGTGACCTTAGTAAAACAGGTTAGAACTAGGAAGTAGATCAAGTCTATAACTTGGCTTGCTGTGTTTAGTTTGGTTTTGGTGTTGATGTAGTGATGAATCAAATTGAATGCAAAAACATGATTAATGTAGTCGGATCTAATAAATTATTGAGAATAAGGATTAATTTATTGTTAAATTGTTGTAATTGACGCAATTGTATACCATTGCATGGTTCGCTTGGTAAGGCGTGTTACTTAGTATTAGATAGTATGAAGCATAAAAGAAATGAAATAATTTTTTTCTAATTATACTGTTTATCATTTTTATATGAACTTTGTACCCAATATACTGATTAAACCTTTTTTCCATGTCTAGGGGTGTGCCAACTTGATGGGATAAGGGACAAAGAGAAGCCTAATGTGAGGCAAAACCTAGTATCCTCTTACAATGCAGTATTGGCCCCAAAGGTGAAGGCAGCCTGCTTGGATTCCACAAGTATGGCAACAAAAGAGATTATGATTGTGGGAAAACACACCTGTGATTACAAACAGAGTTTTTCGACGTGGTTCGATCAGTTTATTATTCTCCTCCAACGAAACATGAAAGAGAGAAAGCATGAAACATTTAACCCTCTGGGAGTTTTTCAAGTGATCACGGCCTCATTGTTAGCTGGTTTCATGTGGTGGCACTCTGATTATCGGGATATTCAGGATCGTCTAGGGCTTCTTTTCTTCATTGCTATCTTCTGGGGTGTTTTTCCATCTTTCGGTGCCGTGTTTGCATTTCCTCACGAGCGAGCTATTTTCGTCAAGGAAAGAGCTTCGGGTATGTATACGCTATTGTCCTATTTCATGGCCCGTATTACGGGGGACCTACCCATGGATATGATTCTCCCCATATTATTCCTGGCAATAGTGTATTGGATGACCGGACTAAAATCTGAGCTGTGCGCATTTTTGCTAACCCTAATTGTGCTCCTCGGTCATGTGCTTGTATCTCAAGGACTCGGCCTTGCTCTTGGTGCATTGATCATGGATGCCAAAAAGGCGTCAACTGTGGTAACTGTCACAATGCTAGCATTTGTTTTAACAGGAGGATTCTACGTGCACAAGGTGCCAGCCTTCATGTCATGGTTTAAGTATATTTCGACCATATTTTATAGCTATCGGCTTTTAATCAACGTCCAATATGGTGATGGGACACAAATTTCCTCATTGCTCGGATGCTCTATCAAAGATGGCCAAAAGAGAGCAAGCTGTAAATTTGTTAACCAAGACATCGTAGGACAAATGCATCCAGCAATGAGCGTTGGGATTTTGCTCATCATGTTTGTAGGATATAGAGTATTGGCCTACATCGCCTTGTGGCGCATCAGAGATTGAAAAAATTGTGTAGGGGTGTTGAATCATATTGGCCTAAGGCTTTGGATAACTAGAAAAGCAAACCGATGATTGATCGATTTCTTGATTTGTTGTTGTTGTACTATTACGGCTATTGGATTTGCGCTAACTTCATCGCTAAATGTGGATGAGAGGAGGTTGAAAATGACTGAATGTGCAGAGATATTAGAGGCTAAATCCTGAGTGTTTTTTACTTGCAATTGCAAGAGTTGCAAGTATGTAATTTCATTTATAAGAATGTATAGAAAAACGAGGTTTTTTCTCTTAATAAAAATTAAACAGCACAATTAGAACTACAAACTTAAATCAACTATTCCAAGGTAGAAGAACCCATGAGAAATATGCTCGCGTGCGCACATACGTCCAAGGACACGTTTTAAACGAGAATACTCGATGAACAACAATAGAATAAGATACATTCTCTATAATTTCTGTGAGTTACATGAACATTTTCCACCACTGGGCTTGAATCATGATCACTTTAACAGTGCCATGTTTGCTTTTGCAGATTCACCTGTACACTTTCTAACTTTAAGCTGGTATTTCAACTTAGAAAATAAGTAATATTCAAGATTTAGTAGACAGAGATGGGGCAATGAACAATCATTGTTACGGAAGGAGAACAATGTCTGATATTTCAAGTATGATAGGATCAAATTTCAATGGAAAAACTAGCAAGAAGCAAAATGTTGGGTTCGAACCCTGGACCTTTGGTCATATTGCTTCCACAGTTTTATGAGCAAAAATCATGTTTAATGAGTTTGACACTTCTTCCATTATTTAAATAACAACATTATACTGGATCATGACACGTGTGATGATGGTGGCCGTTGGATCGGGCTTCTGGATGTTTCTGATATTATTTACTCTAATTGGACTCATTTTCACTCAGCTGAATTGTCATTTTTCTTTCAAGGGTTCTCTCTGCTGGTTTTGAGTTCATACGCTCCCTCTTGAAAACTCTTGGTTTTTCTCATCTGTGATATGGTTCCTTGAGAGATAATAGTGAGAAAATACAGTAATCTCACTGTAATACTACTGATTGTATGAATGCTTAACTTTTCTGAGTGATTAGTAACAAGAATCTGAGTGATTCTTGAGTTCGATGATTAGTAACAAGAATCTGAGTGATTCTTGAGTTCGGTAGTGCTTTGTAACAGATCTGAGTGATCTGAGTAATTCCTGTGAGAAGCATAGTCCAATCATCTTTGTGTAGAAAGATAAGTATCTGTGACTATCTTGTGATCTGTACTTCTGTATTTTGACTTTCATATTTTGAGTTTTTAGTGCAACCGAGCTAGATCCGTTTTATAATGGATGCTCAACAGGGGATTAGGCTTTAAGCTGAACCTCTGGGGCTTCGGTCGAAAAATCCTTGTATTTACACTTTACTTTCTGCATTTAAATTTCTGTTTTGAATGGTTTGTGTAAATTTTGGTTTAATCGTGAATGACTTCTTTGATTAACAGTGGTGTCAGAGCATTGTTACTTCTCGATTAATCTGGATTTCTGAAACCTGCTTCAAATGACAGTCAACTCAGTTGTTGGAGGAATCTGAGTTCTAATGAACTCCTTGGTGAGATCTTTCCTGTATCTTGAAATTAGTAATTTCATATTGCTTGACTCCTGAATTTTTCCCTTGATTTACCTTGTACTATTAAAACTCCAGTGATTGGTCTTTGTCCAAAGACTCTTGAAGTCTTGGGAATCTGAGATAACAACTCTGTGAGTAGTACAATTGGAAGATCTTGTAGGAGAAGTCAGTCGAGGCACAGTGTTTTTTTTTTTTTGAAATCTCTGTTCAGTTATAATACTGCCTCCTGTAATAAGTATTAACTGTTTACTGTCTTGAGAAATTTGTTTAAAGTGTATTGTTAGATTGGCACGAAAAAGAGTTTGAGTTTGCTGTTGTCTCCAACTGTGTATGTTCCTGTGTGTTTCTTGAACATTAGTACTGTATATTGTATATTAACTAAGTGTTATACTCAGTATGGCTACTGCTAAGTTTGAATTGAAACTGTATGATGGGAGGGGAGACTTTAGTATGTGGAGTCAGAAAATGAGAGCTATATTGATGCAATTAAAATGTGCTAAAGCTCTTGATAATTCATGGCCTACCGGTATTGAAGAAAATAAGAAAACTGAATTGGAAGAAATAGCCTGGAGTACTATCTTCTTATACCTTTCTGACAATGTGATCAGGTCTATAGGAGAAACTAAAACTGCAGAAGACTTATGGACTAAGTTGAAGGCTAAATATGAACCAAAAACTGTCCCAAACAAATGTTTTTTACTAAAACAGTTTTTCTCATTTAAAATGGACCCTTCAGTAGATTTGGAAGAAAATCTTGATAGGTTTACCAAACTGACCCAAGACCTCACCAACTGTGATGAAGAATTATCAGAAGATCAGTTGGCTGTGGTACTGTTGAACTCCATTAGTGACAGACACAAAGACCTTAAAAATGCCTTAGAGTATGGTAGGGATAAACTTACCACTGATATTATAATAATTGCTTTAAGAAATAGGGTACTTGAACTGAAATCTGAGTCTACCAATAAACAATATGGTGAAAATTTACTGATAAAAAGTAAAATTGTTGGTAGATCAAACTTTCATTCAAAATTTTCTAATGAACCTAAAAAGAAGTTTTTTGATAAAGCAAGATCTCAGAATAAGGCAAAAGGTAAAAAGTGCTATTATTGTGGTAAATTAGGTCACTTTGCTAAGGATTGCAATAAAAAACAAAATGATTCTAAAGAGAAGAAAGTCAGTGAGGGAAATACTGTTATGTCATGTGACACACTTCAATCTGACAATGGTTTAGTCCTTGTTAATGTTGAAAGAAACTTAAATCAAGAGTGGATTCTAGATTCAGGATGTTCTTTCCACATGTGTCCTAAGAAAAACTACTTTCTAAATTTTGAAAAGTCTAATGGAGGACAAGTTGTCATGAGGAACAACATGACTTGCAAAGTTAAAGGCATTGGAACCATAAAACTTCTTTTAGAAAATGGCAGAATCTTACTTTTAGAAAATACCAGATTTGTACCAGATTTAGAAAGAAACTTAATTTCCTTAGGAATGTTAGATGATATGGAGTTTGACATAAAATTGGGTCAATGACAAATAAAAATCTTTAGGGGAAGTGATTTAGTCACTTCTATCCTAAAGAGACATGATCTATACTTCTTAAATGCTAAACCTCTTATGGGTCTATCTAATGCAGTTTTAAATGATGATTTTAATCTAGCAAAATTATGGCATGGTAGACTTGGTCACATTGGTACAAAAGGTTTGAATGCTCTTAAAACTAAAGGTGAAGTTTCAAATTGTGAAGAGTGTTTGATTGGCAAACAAACTAAACTCCCATTTTCACTGAGTACCTTTAAATCAAAGGAAATTCTTGAGTATGTTCATGCTGATTTGTGGGGGCCTGCTTCTACATCTACCTTGTCTGGGTTTAAATATTACTTGCTGATTGTGGATGATTTTTCAAAGAAAATATGGGTTTTTCGTTTGAAAACTAAAGATGAAACTTTTATTGTTTTTAGAGATTGGAAAACCCAAATTGAAAATCAGACTGATTTAAAAATCAAAACATTAAGGACAGACAATGGGCTAGAGTTTTGCAATTATGACTTTGATAATTTCTGTAAAGAACATGGCATTTTAAGGCATAAAACTGTCACCTATATACCTCAACAAAATGGCACTGCTGAAAGGATGAATAAGACATTATTAAATAAGGTTAGATGCATGCTTTTAAGCTCAGGACTACCAAAATTATTTTGGGGGGAGGCTGTAAAAACTGCTGCTTATTTAATTAATAGGAGTCCTACAAGTTCTTTGAATTATAATGTGCCTGAATTTGTGTGGTCTCAAAAACCTGTGATTTACTCATATTTGAAAACTTTTGGTTGTGCTGCATATGCACATCAAAATATAGGGAAACTTGAGCTTAGGTCTCTAAAATGTGTGTTTTTGGGATATGCTGAAAATGTCAAGGGATATAGACTGTGGGTACACAGTGAGAAAGGTTGTAGGGTCATTATAAGAAGAGATGTTGTTTTTAATGAGTCTTGCATGCCATGTTTAGAAGGAAATCAAAGAAATGTTTCTGATAATACTGCTCAGATTGAGGTGGAGCCTATTAAATTTGGAAATAACAATGATGTACCATTAGAAGCTGAAAATGCTGATTCAAATCTGAATGAAAATGATATTGAGCAGAGAGAGACTGAACCTGTTAATATCACAGATTTACCTCCTGATGGATACCAATTATCTTGGGATAGGGAAAGGAGACAAATTAGGCCACCTGCTAGATACAATACTGATGAATTTGCTTCCTATTTCACCTATCAATATGAAACTGAGACTGAACCTTACTCTTATTATGAAGCTATAAAATCAAATGATAGTAAGAAATGGTTAGCTGCCATGGAGGAGGAAATGGACTCCTTATATAAGAATAAGACTTGGGATCTGGTTGACAAACCTAAAGAAAAGAAATTAGTTGATTGCAAGTGGATATATAAAATTAAAGATGGGGAGGAGGGCAACAATAATGTTAGGTACAAGGCCAGACTTGTTGCTAAAGGGTTTACCCAAAAACAAGGGGTTGACTATGATGAGATTTTTTCCCCAGTAGCTAAATATACCACTATTAGATGCATTCTTGTGTTGGTTGCTCATTTTGAGTGGGAATTAGATCAATTAGATGTTAAAACTGCCTTCTTGTATGGTGATTTAGATGAATTGATCTATATGAGACAACCTGTAGGTTTTGAAAAGGGTGATCCAAATAAAACTGTGTGTTTATTAAAAAGGTCTTTGTATGGGCTAAAACAAGCTCCTAGACAGTGGTATAAACGTTTTGACTCATTTGTGTTAAAACTTGGCTTTAATAGAAGTAGCTATGACAAATGTTTGTACCATAAAGGTAATGATAATAATAATTCTCTTGACCTGATTCTCTATGTTGATGATATGCTTCTTGCCAGTAGCTGCAAATCTGAAATTGAACAAAAGCTTAAATGTGAATTTGAGATGAAAGATCTTGGCCCTGCCAAGAAGATTCTTGGTATGCAAATTGTTAGAAATAAAGAAAAAGGGTTGCTGTTCTTAAATCAACAAAACTATGTGAATAAAGTTTTGAAGAAATTTAACATGTTTGAATGTAGATCAGTATCTTTACCTCTTGCAAATCATTTTATTCTTACATCATATGCTTGTCCTAAAACTGAAGATGAATTGTCTAGAATGTCAAGAATTCCTTATGCTAATGCTATAGGATCAATAATGTATTTGATGATATGTACTAGACCTGACTTAGCCTACAGTATCAGTGTCTTGAGTAGATTTATGGCCAACCCTGGTGAAAGTCACTGGGAAGCTGTAAAATGGTTGATGAAATACTTAAAGGGAACATCTGATATAGGATTAATATTTAAAATGAATAAAGAAGGGGTAATACTAAAAGGATTTACTGATTCTGATTTTGCTGGAGATAGAGACAACAGGAGATCCACTTCATCTTACTTCTTTACCTTCTGTGGTACTGTTGTTAGTTGGAAATCTCAGTTACAAAAAATTGTTGCTTTATCCTCTACTGAGGCAGAATACATTACTGCTACTGATGCCATCAAAGAAGGAATATGGTTAAATGGTCTTTTGAATGAGCTTGGTTTTGTGAACACTAGTCCTACTTTATATTCTGATAATCAGAGTGCAATACATTTGAGTAAAAATCCCATGTTTCATGATAGAACTAAGCATATAGATGTTAAATATCATTTTATAAGGGATGTAATATCAAAAGGATTGTTAAATATTGCAAAAGTTGCTACTTTACATAATCCATCTGATATGGGAAAAAAAGTAATACCTTTAAATAAGTTTCAGAACTGTTTAAAGATATTGTCTATTGATTCTTTTCACTAACTGTGCAGGAACTAGAGCAAATGAAATTGTAAAATGTTGGTTAAGCTCCTGGCTGCACTATACTCAAAACTGTTGGAAGCAAGGTGGAGATTGTTGGGTTCGAACCTTGGACCTTTGGTCATATTGCTTCCACAGTTTTATGAGCAAAAATCGTGTTTAATGAGTTTGACACTTCTTCCATTATTTAAATAACAACATTATACTGGATTATGACACGTGTGATGATGGTGGCCGTTGGATCAGGCTTCTAGATGCTTCTGATATTATTTACTCTGATTGGACTCATTTTCACTCAGCTGAATCGTCATTTTTCTTTCAAGGGTTTTCTCTCTGCCGGTTTTGAGTTCATACGCTCCCTCTTGAAAACTCTTGGTTTTTCTCTTCTGTGATATGGTTCCTTGAGAGATAATAGTGAGAAAATACAGTAATCTCACTGTAATACTACTGATTGTATGAATGCTTAACTTTTCTGAGTGATTAGTAACAAGAATCTGAGTGATTCTTGAGTTCGGTGATTAGTAACAAGAATCTGAGTGATTCTTGAGTTCGGTAGTGCTTTGTAACAGATCTGAGTGATCTGAGTAATTCCTGTGAGAAGCATAGTCCAATCATCTTTGTGTAGAAAGATAAGTCTCTGTGACTATCTTGTGATTTGTACTTCTGTATTTTGACTTTCATATTTTGAGTTTTCAGTGCAACCGAGCTAGATCCGTTTTATAATGGATGCTCAACAGGGGATTAGGCTTTAAATTGAACCTCTGGGGCTTCGGCCGAAAAATCCTTGTGTTTACACTTTACTTTCTGCATTTAAATTTCTGTTTTGAATGGTTTGTGTAAATTTTGGTTTAATCGTGAATGACTTCTTTGATTAACACAAAATGGCATCACACTAAAATTTTGATCAAACATCGTTAAACTCTAAGAAGAAGTTCAAAATTGTAGACTAAAGATCTTTGGACTTGATACTACTTTTCGTTTCAAACAAGCCTTCATTATACAAGGGTACACTCTTTTCGGCTGCGGAATGCCGTAATTTGTTGTACACTCGACAAACTGTTGGAATATTTCTAATATGGGCTTCACAATTAATTATTTATTTTACGGGTTAGATGTATAACTCATAATAATATTTGTGATTTGAGCAAATTTATTAAGTAATCAATTGGGCCTTTTATACCTTACGGGTTGTATTTAATATGATGTGATATTTTAAGTATGTGGGTTGAAAATAAACCCTAATTAGAGTTTCAATCGTAATGGGACGACTCAATAATTTCTTGTATAAATGCTAGGTCCCCTCTCCTCTCAATTTTTCTATTAGCCTGCCCTATTGATCGATAATACTATGTGAGGAGCAAGGATGAGAAAATCTCTCTGCTATTATTCATATTAACAACGGCTTTCATAGGTATTAATTTGATTTATTAATTTATTACATTGTGATTTTTAATTCTTAACATGATTACAATTAAATTCAACAATTGATATCAGAGTCACCATGCTAAGATTAGATTCCATCATCAAAAACAATATTCTATCTTGACTGGTTCAAACTTTTCAACTTTGCATCAAAATTTCATGTGGAATTTTCTATGCATATAATTTCGTGTATGCATATATGTATAAAATTCATTCATTATATATATATTGTGTTTTCTCGTTTCTGTACATATAATTTGGCTTTGTACATATATGTATAATATGTTCATCATGCAAACATGTAAAGAAATCCAAAACCACCAAATCTGCAAAACTTTAAAACTTGGTCTCCTACGCATTTTTCCTTCTACTCTTTACCAAAGATGGAGAGATCTATACATTGGACTTAAAACCTTGAACTAAAGATCTAAAATTCAATTTCAATAGGCGACCGACTTTAATTTGGAGACATCTAGGTGAAATTGTTGGTCCGGGCATGTGAATTGTAGCTGGTGCCTGCTGCCGTCTCAGGCGAGGCGACGAAGCAGCAGAGCCGCTGAACGTCAGCCCCGTTTTGCTACTTATTCGCAGTTTCTGGTGGTGGTCGTCGCCACTTGCACCGGGACTGTTGTGGGCGACTGAAAAGGGAGTCTCGTTGCGTAACTCTTCCCTTTTCCCTGACACCGACAGCTATCAAAAAAAATTTAGGTTCTCTGTAAATGGTGTTGAAAAAATGTAGTGAAATCTAAATACTTAATGAACTCCAAGGCACGAAGAAACGTTATCTTTTAAGAGATGTTTCTCCCCTATCCAACAAAGTCACAACTGGGATATGATAGAAAATCTCTCTCAGGATACAATGGAGACGTTTGATTCAAATTATGACTATTTGATCAAACCAAGATGACACTCGAAAATAACTGATTGATGCCAAGAGAAAGAAAGAAGAATAAATTATTTTTAATGTGTTTTGCAAACGAAAATTCGCCCAGAATTTATAGAAATTGAGGCAACCGTTTGAATAGGTATGTCCCTTGAAATCCTTGCATACATCTACTAGAGGTGACTGTTAAAAAACGAGCAGATGCACATATTCAAAGACTTCTGAAAATAAAATTCTCTTTCGGGGGCGGCAAATCGTTCGCAAAACAAAATTAAATACATTCAAAATGATGAAAAATATCTAACAAATGATAGGAGGCATTGGGGATGGGAGCCTCTTCGTAATCTATGAGATGACAGGCACTTGCCTGCAATTTGACACTTGGGGTTATATTGTAATTTTAAATATAAGGATTTGCCACGCAATTTTAAATATTGAAGGACCTGTTTATAATTTTGAACCAAGGTCGTGTGGCAAATTTCAATATGATTTTGAGTTTGAATTTGTAGAGGGCTTTTAATTTGAATTTTTAAAGCTTTAGTCCTAAAATTTTAATTTTTGACCCAATTAAAATTTTATTGATCCAATTAATATTATATTAAATTTTTTATCGCTATTGTTTGTTTACGTAAATTTCATTTTTAATATATCTATTGAAATTTGTTGCTCATTTTGTCTCCCAATCCCATATAATTTTGCCATTTATCGATTAATGATTATGAATTGTTGCATAATTATTGCTTTGTGATTGAATTTTTTATGGGTATTGAGACGATCCTTATTTTTCCACAAAGAGAAATATTTTGAAATAAAAATGGGTGGTAGCTGCCAAAATGGCACACTTATTTTTATTTATTCGATTTTCTCTGCAATATATGACGATCTTTATTTGTCCCCACAAAGAGAAATATTTTGAAATAAAAATGGATGGCAGCTGCCAAAGTGACACACTCATTATTATTTATTCGGTTTTCTCTACAATAAATATATATATATATTTTTGCCCAACAATTTTAATTTATTGCATATAATATTTTGCCCAAATGTGTTATTATATGTAATATTTTTGAAAAATGATATAAGGCGATTAACGAGCTTACTTTGGACTAGAAATTTCTTTCTGTTCAAAGGTGTTAAAATTTCGAAAGTCAATGTGATTTTGTTATCCTAACTATATGATGTGTTTTAAGAGTAATTTATAACATGTTGTATTGTCTACCCAAATGTGACTTTATGATGATGTATTTAGGTTCTTACCGTAATAAAATTCATATGGTTTTGATTTAAATTACGGATTATCTAATTAATAGCCAATGTTAATTAGTTGAATATTTTTATCATCCATTTGACTGCATGCATTATGTTTGGATGATATTGAATATGATACTTTATTTTTCCACAGTTTGTAATGTCTCATCTCTTTCGAGTCAATTGTTCGTCATTGAAACCTTGACTGGAAATAATTATGTAAGATGGAAACGAGATGTAGAGATAGCACCTGGTCTTTTAGGCTTGAATTTTGCAATGGAGAAAAAACTCGACAAACTTACAGATAAGAGCAATATTGAATATGTAGCCGAGTACGAAAAATGGGAAAGAGCCAACAAACTTTGTTTGAAAATTATTAAGCGCTCTATATGTGATTCTATTATGGGTGCTATTCCAGATAGTAAAAATGCCAAAAGTTTTATGGATGCCATAGGAGAAAAATTTATTGAGTCTGATAAAATCGAAACTAGGGATCTGATGAATAAATTGATGAATATTAGATGTGATGGTACAAGTGGTATTGGAGAGCACGTTATGAAGATGATAAATATATCATCAGAGCTAAAGGCTATTAAAACTCCCTTGGCCTTAGTTTGTTTTGAGTCTTCCTTTGTAGATGTGCTTTTGAATTTTTGGTGGTTAGACTCGGAAGCTAGTATTCATATTAATTCCTTGCAGGGGTTCCTGATTTTCTGCTCTCTGTTAAGGCTACCAGCTTCTCTCTCTAGAAATGAGAAAATTTCCACGGCGGATTCGGTGATTCGCGAACTGGGGTTGGCTAAATGTAAGGATACAATTATTGGGAACAGTTTTATTCGAGGAATTTCAGGTGGTGAAAGAAAAAGAGTAAGCATAGCACATGAAATGCTGATAAACCCTAGTTTATTAATTCTTGACGAGCCGACATCGGGGTTGGATTCCACGGCAGCGTTCCGGCTGATGACGACGCTGGGGTCACTGGCGGAGAAGGGGAAAACGATAGTTACCTCGGTGCATCAGCCGTCGAGCCGAGTTTACCAGTCGTTTGACTCGGTGGTGGTTTTGTCCGAAGGGAGGTGTATATATTTCGGTAAAGGGAATGAGGTCATGAATTATTTTGAATCTGTTGGCTTCTGCCCAAGTTTTCCCATGAATCCTGCTGATTTCTTGCTTGATCTGGCTAACGGTACGCCCGTAATCCTTGTCTCATAGAATTAGCAGGTCGAATTAGATAAGACTGTGTATTCTATATTTCGAACATACACTGAATGTGTCATGACGTTACGTGACATATCTAGCCCTGGCTTTCATTAATTTTCATTACATTATATTTTATTTTTCTCTTCTATTTTTAATTACACAATTTTTCATAAAATAATATTACACGTAAATTGAAATTTGCTCATTCTTTTTTAACCACTCATTTAAAAAAAAAACACTATTCCAACAATTTGGGCTTAGTATTTCGGCACTCATTTGTTGTCTCTACATTTACATGCATTTTGGTTAAAGTACTGTGGAGTTAATTGTTCCAATGCTCACTGAAAGTCCATTCTTTGATTTGTTACCGAAGTTAAAAATATCGAGTTTTGATCACTGAACTTAGGTCCATGTTTTCGATTAATTACAAAAATTTGAAATGTTGAGTTTTGGTTACGTAATTTTGAAAAATGTTGTACGTTACTCACTGTAAACTCAACATCTTTCAAAGTTCAATATTTATGTTAGTGAGCAACGTACAATATTTTTCAAAATTCAGAAGTCAAAACTCGACATTTTAAATTTCAGTGAACAAACGAAAATATGGACCTAATTTTAGTAATCAAAACTCGACATTTTAAATTTTAATTACCAATAAAAACATTAACCTAAGTTTAGTGATATTGGAACAATTAATTCAATGCTCCGTATATGTCTGAATTGATCTGGATAAGACTGATAGTAATTTGAATTCAACGTATTGAACATATCCGATGGGAAGTATGTGATTAAAGTATTATTATTTGTGTTTCAAGAATATATGGCAGGGAAATTGACTCTAGTTAATGAGGTCTTTTCTGTGAAAAGTAGATGTTAAATTTTAACTCATTAAAGGCGCAACAAACCATAGATCTTTTTGGTTAATGAAGTAAAAGTTTAGGTAGCATACATTAATGTTCCTAGTTTTATGACACTTTAGATTAGCCGAACATGATATATGTGGTCCAACAGTAAAGTGGTTGATCATTTATGGATCTGTGAAGTTGAACACAGCTTATTAGATGAGTTCGATTTGATTTATCAAAGTTACAAATCGTACTTACAACTTTATATGCATTAGTTTTGCAAATTCATTAACCTTGCAAATGACTTTGATCGAGACATCCAGTTAAGGCATCCCGTTGGCCAACCTCCGCCAATGGTAGTGGTTGAGTGGCAACGGCCACGGTGGTGGAGATTTCTTTATTATATGGTGAGATGGGAAGGTGGAGACTTTTTTTTTTTAGGCAAAACAATTAGTGGACAAAAGTGATTAGATACGTACTGGCTTTTGCATCTGGAGGCTACAGTTCTTAGGAATGTAACTTTCATGTACACCACGTGGCTAATAGCAAGTGACCATCTGTCTTTTGTTTACATTTTTGCTTTTGCACTTGAGGTTTTGATCCAATAGTTTTATCAAATTCTTTTATGCTCCTTTGCATTTTTTGTTATATTACCACTAGATAAGACTAGGATGAAAATAAAGCAATTAACAAAGTTGATCAAATTGCCATGAATACTGTCGGGTTGAACGAGCCAATAACTCGAACACTTCCAATTTAACTAATACAGATATTAACTCTTCTGGGAACCAGTAACACGTAAATCATGTCAAACCAAGGCCAATCAATATCCGGACGGTTACCCTTAGGTGCCCTTAGCTTATCATATCTAGTGTGTTTAGGAATTGATTGGTAAATTATATTGAATAACACTAAAAGGATTAAGGAAGAAAGAACAAGCTGAAACTCATTATTTTTAAATTGAATTGATTGGTCGGTTCAACCACACAATTACAAGTCAAATTTCATTTTTTTTTTTTTGAACGCATCAAGAACCAGCAAGCAATCCATTTCTCCTAAATCGGCTGGTTTATACCAAAATTCTACTTTATTTGTTTATCTTGTTTTAAGTACTATCAGTTCGATCTAATTCGATGCTTTGATCCTTTATCTTTTCAGATTTTTGGTGATGGATTTTTAAAGACTTAACTAAAATTTTATATATTGTCATATCCATTCTAAAATTTTATATATTTTGAAATGATGTAGTTTTTTGAAGAAAATTAGGAGTGTAATCATTAATTTTAGAATGAAAAGTAAAAATAAAATATGCTAAATTTTTACTTTTTCAGAAGTAAGATTAGGTGTCAAACCCAAAATAAAACCATCCTTGCATTCGATCTTCTTTAATTAATTAGTGATGGTCGTTACTGATTAGAGATAAAAGTTCTCTCATCTTTGGGACCTAATTGTGTTGGAATCAATAACTTAAGATTTCCAGCTAATCATATTCAAGTATCTTATGCTAATTTTTCTGAAAAGGGGTCCATTGATGGAAATTAAGACCTTGTATTCTTCCTATCTTTTTATTATAAGAGAATATATAACATGGAATCGGTTCAATTATTAGATTCTTAATCTATAATCACGACTCTTTTTATTATAAGAGAATATATAACATGGAATCGGTTCAATTATTAGATTCTTAATCTATAATCACGACTCTCTCTCTCATAGAAAGAATTCTTTTCCGTTTTGATCTCAATGATTTATTGTTTGATTGACATGGAAATATCACTTAGATAAGAAAATATTTTTCTTGTTTTGAGTAAAACAAAAACCTACTCCCTCCAAAGAAAATATTTTCCTTAAAAATAAGGAAAAATAGACATATTTTCAATGAAAAAAATAGCAATCAAACACTCCAAATTAGGAATTTGAGTTGAGAACTGATATGTTCCATGGAAAATAAATATAATCAACGCTCTTAATTCTTTTATTTGACTGTAGAAGTTCAAAAGAAAAAGTGAATTCTAAATCTACTTAACTCATTTCGTTGCATATAATTACTTATTTCATATTTGACTTTTAATCCATTTTTCTAAGCTTTTCATCTCTCTTTACCTAATAAAGGTTTTTTAACTACTCGAATATATTATCAAACGAGATTTTCACAGTGACACGTCACTCCATATTTTTGTGTTAAGAAGACCATTAAAATAAATTGTCATTCTATCTTTTTCTCCAAGAATAGAATGGTGGGACATGTCACTAAACCAAGTTTTATTGCAAAATAATGATATAATATAATAGTTGGTGGACACCATTGTTTGAAAGAATATTAAAATAGGTTTTACACCCTTAATTCGTTGTTGGACAACAAAATGATTATAACATTGGATTAAGGAAATATTACAACATTCCTTACGTAGGATAGCATATGATACAATTTTTTTTTTTTTATCAACTAAAAAGATGTGATTAATTCCTTCCATGTCTCATGGTGGGGACCTTTTAAATTGGGACTAATTAATCATGATGCTTTTTGATTTTAGATATTTAACACTTTCACTAAAGTATCTTATTGATTTTTTGTTGATTAAATACTATTCTTTGTTTTTAGTTAATACCTCATTTTAAACAATCATAACCATTTATATAAAGATTTGATAGATTTAGAGTAGATTGCTAAGCCTCCCAGTCTGTCTGTTAGTCCGATACATTGAAAACATAGGATGAGTTGGATCCGTTGCAATTCACTTTATACGTCTAGACACGATCGAGACTCATATTAAGTAGCACTTGTCGCACTTTAATATCTTGAAAAACATATCTGGAAAATAGTTTCATATTTTATTTCTTTTCTTTTATTTATAAAAAAAAAGAGAACCATTTTTGGTTTCAATTTGGACAACGTGTTAAGGACATTAGGGTGCTTCCCACTATATATTTTATGTGATTAAATAACGAAATGAAGGAAGTGGAAATGGTGGCCCAAATCCATCACCAACTTTATGTTGAGTGGACTCCTACCTCACCACCAACATTGGACAGCTTTAACTCTTGCTACTTGGCAACAATTATCAAAAGATCATGTTATAAATAATTGATGGATAAATTAACGAAAGACGACTAATATGTTCGGCTAAGGAGATTCTTATGGTTAAAAATGGTGTGACCTTAGTAAAACAGGTTAGAACTAGGAAGTAGATCAAGTCTATAACTTGGCTTGCTGTGTTTAGTTTGGTTTTGGTGTTGATGTAGTGATGAATCAAATTGAATGCAAAAACATGATTAATGTAATCGGATCTAAATTTATTGAGAATAAGGATTAATTTATTGTTAAATTGTTGTAATTGACGCAATTGTATACCATTGCATGGTTCGCTTGGTAAGGCGTGTTACTTAGTATTAGATAGTATGAAGCATAAAAGAAATAAAATAATTTTTTTCTAATTATACTGTTTATCATTTTTATATGAACTTTGTACCCAATATACTGATTAAACCTTTTTTCCATGTCTAGGGGTGTGCCAACTTGATGGGATAAGGGACAAAGAGAAGCCTAATGTGAGGCAAAACCTAGTATCCTCTTACAATGCAGTATTGGCCCCAAAGGTGAAGGCAGCCTGCTTGGATTCCACAAGTATGGCAACAAAAGAGATTATGATTGTGGGAAAACACACCTGTGATTACAAACAGAGTTTTTCGACGTGGTTCGATCAGTTTATTATTCTCCTCCAACGAAACATGAAAGAGAGAAAGCATGAAACATTTAACCCTCTGGGAGTTTTTCAAGTGATCACGGCCTCATTGTTAGCTGGTTTCATGTGGTGGCACTCTGATTATCGGGATATTCAGGATCGTCTAGGGCTTCTTTTCTTCATTGCTATCTTCTGGGGTGTTTTTCCATCTTTCGGTGCCGTGTTTGCATTTCCTCACGAGCGAGCTATTTTCGTCAAGGAAAGAGCTTCGGGTATGTATACGCTATTGTCCTATTTCATGGCCCGTATTACGGGGGACCTACCCATGGATATGATTCTCCCCATATTATTCCTGGCAATAGTGTATTGGATGACCGGGCTAAAATCTGAGCTGTGCGCATTTTTGCTAACCCTAATTGTGCTCCTAAGTCATGTGCTTGTATCTCAAGGACTCGGCCTTGCTCTTGGTGCATTGATCATGGATGCCAAGAAGGCGTCAACTGTGGTAACTGTCACAATGCTAGCATTTGTTTTAACAGGAGGATTCTACGTGCACAAGGTGCCAGCCTTCATGTCATGGTTTAAGTATATTTCGACCATATTTTATAGCTATCGGCTTTTAATCAACGTCCAATATGGTGATGGGACACAAATTTCCTCATTGCTCGGATGCTCTATCAAAGATGGCCAAAAGAGAGCAAGCTGTAAATTTGTTAACCAAGACATCGTAGGACAAATGCATCCAGCAATGAGCGTTGGGATTTTGCTCATCATGTTTGTAGGATATAGAGTATTGGCCTACATCGCCTTGTGGCGCATCAGAGATTGAAAAAATTGTGTAGGGGTGTTGAATCATATTGGCCTAAGGCTTTGGATAACTAGAAAAGCAAACCGATGATTGATCGATTTCTTGATTTGTTGTTGTTGTACTATTACGGCTATTGGATTTGCGCTAACTTCATCGCTAAATGTGGATGAGAGGAGGTTGAAAATGACTGAATGTGCAGAGATATTAGAGGCTAAATCCTGAGCGTTTTTTACTTGCAATTGCAAGAGTTGCAAGTATGTAATTTCATTTATAAGAATGTATAGAAAAACGAGGTTTTTCCTCTTAATAAAAATTAAACAGCATAATTAGAACTACAAACTTAAATCAACTATTCCAAGGTAGAAGAACCCATGAGAAATATGCTCGCGTGCGCACATACGTCCAAGGACACGTTTTAAACGAGAATACTCGATGAACAACAATAGAATAAGATACATTCTCTATAATTTCTGTGAGTTACATGAACATTTTCCACCACTGGGCTTGAATCATGATCACTTTAACAGTGCCATGTTTGCTTTTGCAGATTCACCTGTACACTTTCTAACTTTAAGCTGGTATTTCAACTTAGAAAATAAGTAATATTCAAGATTTAGTAGACACAGAGGGGGCAATGAACAATCATTGTCACGGAAGGAGAACAATGTCTGATATTTCAAGTATGATAGGATCAAATTTCAATGGAAAAACTAGCAAGAAGCAAAATGTCAACAAAGTGAAATGGCATCACACTAAAATTTTGATCAAACCTCGTCAAACCCTAAGAAGAAGTTCAAAATTGTAGACTAAAGATCTTTGGACTTGATACTACTTTTCGTTTCAAAAAAGCCTTCATTATACAAGGGTACACTCTTTTCGGCTACGGAATGCCGTAATTTGTTGTACACTCCACAAACTGTTGGAATATTTCTAATATGGGCTTCACATTTAATTATTTATTTTACGGGTTAGATGTATAACTCATAATAATATTTGTGATTGGAGCAAATTTATTAAGTAATCAATTGGGCTTTTTATACCTTACGGGTTGTATTTAATATGATGTGATAATTTTAAGTATGTGGGTTGAAAATAAACCCTAATTAGAGTTTCAATTGTAATGGGACGACTCAATAATTTCTTGTATAAATGCTAGGTCCCCTCTCCTGTCAATTTTTCTATTAGCTTGCCCTATTGATCGATAATACTATGTGAGGAGCGAGGATGAGAAAATCTCGCTGCTATTATTCATATTAACAACGGCTTTCATAGGTATTAATTTGATTAATTAATTTATTACTTTGTGATTTTTAATTCTTAACATGATTACAATTAAATTCAACAATTGATATCAGAGCCACCATGCTAAGATTAGAATCCATCATCAAAAAAAATATTCTATCTTGACTGGTTCAAACTTTTTCAACTTTGCATCAAAATTTCATGTGGAATTTTCTATGCATATAATTTCGTGTATGCATATATGTATAAAACTCATTCATTATATATATATATATTGTGTTTTCTCGTTTCTGTACATATAATTTGGCTTTGTACATATATGTATAATATGTTCATCATGCAAACATGTAAAGAAATCCAAAACCACCAAATCTACAAAACTTTAAAACTTGGTCTCCTACGCGTTTTTCCTTCTACTCTTTACCAAAGATGGAGAGATCTATACATTGGACTTAAAACCTTGAACTAAAGATCTAAAATTCAATTTCAATAGGCGACCGACTTTTATTTGGAGACATCTAGGTGAAATTGTTGGTCTGGCCATGTGAATTGTAGCTGGTGCCTGCTGCCGTCTCAGGCGAGGCGACAAAGCAACAGAGCCGCTGCTTCGCGCTGGCAGCGTCAGCCCCGTTTTGCTACTTATTCGTAATTTCTGGTGGTGGTCGCCGCCACTTGCACCGGGACTGTTGTGGGCGACTGAAAAGGGAGTCTCGTTGCGTAACTCTTCCCTTTTCCCTGACACCGACAGCTACCAAAAAAAATTTAGGTTCTCTGTAAATGGTGTTGAAAAAATGTAGGAAAATCTGAATACTTAATGAACTCCAAAGCACGAAAAAACGTTATCTTTTAAGAGATGTTTCTCCCCTATCCAACAAAGTCACAACTGGGGTATGATAGAAAATCTCTCTCAGGATACAATGGAGACGTTTGATTCAAATTATGACTATTTGATCAAACCAAGATGACACTCGAAAATAACTTATTGATGCTAAGAGAAAGAAAGAAGAATAAATTGTTTTTAATGTGTTTTGCAAACGAAAATTCGCCCAGAATTTATAGAAATTGAGGCAACTGTTTGAATAGGTGTGTCCCTTGAAATCCTTGCATACATCTACTGGAGGTGACTGTTAAAAAACGAACAGATGCATCTATTCAAAGACTTCTGAAAATAAAATTCTCTTTCAGGGGCAGCAAATCATTCGCAAAACAAAATTTAATACATGCAAAATGATGAAAAATATCTAACAAACGGTAGGAGGCATTGGGGATGGGAGCCTCTCTCGTAATCTATGAGATGACACGCGCCTGCCTGATGACACTTGGGGTTATATTGTAATTTTAAATATAAGGACCTGCCACGCAATTTTAAATATTGAAGGACCTGTTTATAATTTTGAACCAAGGTCATGTGGCAAATTTCAATATGATTTTGAGTTTGAATTTGTAGAGGGCTTTTAATTTGAATTTTTAAAGCTTTAGTCCTAAAATTTTAATTTTTGACCCAATTAAAATTTTATTGATCCAATTAATATTATATTAAATTTTTTATCGCTATTGTTTGTTTGCGTAAATTTCATTTATAATGTATATATTGAAATTTGTTGCTCATTTTGTCTCCCAATCCCATATAATTTTGCCATTTATCGATTAATAGTTATGAATTGTTGCATAATTATTGCTTTGTGATTGAATTTTTTATGGGTATTGAGACAATCCTTATTTTTCCACAAAGAGAAATATTTTGAAATAAAAATGGGTGGTAGCTGCCAAAATGGCACACTTATTATTATTTATTCGATTCCCTCTCTCTCTCTCTCTCTCTCTCTCTCTCTATATCTATATATATATATATATATTTGCCCAACTATTTTAATTTATTGCATATAATATTTTGCCCAAATGTGTTATTATATGTGATATTTTTGAAAAATGACATAAGGCGATTAACGAGCTTACTTTGGACTAGAAATTTCTTTCTGTTCAAAGGTGTTAAAATTTCGAAAGTCAATGTGATTTTGTTAACCTAACTATATGATGTGTTTTAAGAGTACTTTATAGCATGTTGTATTGTCTACTCAAATACGACTTTATGATGATGTATTTAGGCTCTTACCGTAATAAAATTCATATGGTTTTGATTTAAATTACGGATTATCTAATTAATAGCCAATGTTAATTAATTGAATATTTTTATCATCCATTTAACTGCATGCATTATGTTTGGATGATATTGAATATGATACTTTATGTTTCCACAGTTTATAATGTCTCATCTCTTTCGAGTCAATTGTTCGTCTTTGAAACCTTGACTGGAAATAATTATGTGAAATGGAAACGAGATGTAGAGATAGCACCTGGTCTTTTAGGCTTGGATTTTGCAATGGAGAAAAAACTTGACAAACTTACAGATAAGAGCAATATTGAATATGTAGCCTAGTACAAAAAATGGGAAAGAGCCAACAAACTTTGTTTGAAAATTATTAAGCGCTCTATATCTGATTCTATTATGGGTGCTATTCCAGACAGTAAAAATGCCAAAAGTTTTATGGATACCATAGCAGAAAAATTTATTGAGTCTGATAAAGCCGAAACTAGGGATCTGATGAATAAATTGATGAATATTAGATGTGATGGTACAAGTGGTATTGGAGAGCACGTTATGAAGATGATAAATATATCATCAGAGCTAAAGGCTATTAAAATTCCCTTGGCCTTAGTTTGTTTTGAGTCTTCCTTTGTAGATGTGTTTTTGAATTTTTGGTGGTTAGACTCGAAAGCTAGTATTCATATTATGAATTCCTTGCAGGGGTTCACAAGCAAACGGAGGCCAAGTGCAAATGAAGTGAGCTTGAGCATTGGAAAGGGAGTTCAAGTGAAGGTCCAATTCACAGGAGTGGGGAAGTTGTTTTTGGGGTCCGGTGTTACCCTTATTTTGGAAAATACAGTTTTTGTACCGACAATGAGACGGAATTTAATTTCTATATCGAGACTAGATGCTTGTGGTTTTTCTTTTAACTTTGGTAATGGAAATGTTGAGTTATTTTATGGTTCTCGTTTGATTGGGAATGAACTTTTATGTGATGGTTTATACAAATTGTCTTCAAATCCTTTTGGTGAAGTTTCTTGTGTTACCAATGTATCAAAGAAAACTGCTCTAATTCGTGAGTCATCATCTATGTTGTGGCATAAACAGTTGGGTCACATTTCAATGGATAGAATGGAAAGATTGGTAAAAGTTGAGATACTTTCCCCTCTAGATTTCTCTGACTTTGACACACGTGTTAGTTGTTTAAGGGAAAAGCTAACTAAGTCTACAAGGAAAGGTTCTACCAGGAGTGATGGTATTTTGAACTTGATACATACTGATATCAGTAGACTTTTACCTTCCACCATATGTGGGAACAAATACTTCATAACCTTTATTGATGATTTCTCGAGATATGGATATGCTTACTTGATTAACAATAAATCATATGCACTTGAGAGATTCAAAAATTTCAAAATGGAAGTAGAGAAACAATGTGAAAAAAGTATCAAGGTTGTAAGATCTTACTATGGTGGTGAATACTATGGGAAATATAACGAGTCTGATTAAAACATGGGTGATTTTGTAAAGTTTTTACAAGAGTGTTGAAAAACGCTTCAATACAACATGCCAGGATACCTGAGCAGAATGGTGTTTTTGAGAGACGTCATCGAACTCTGAAGGATATGGTCATGAGCATGATGAGTAGAACAAATTTGCACGAATATTTGTGGTGTCAAGCCTTGAAAACTACTATGTATATTTTGAACAGAGTTTCAAATAAAACTGTTACAAAGTCACCTTTTGAATTATGGATAGAACGTAAGTCAAGTTTAGCT